CCTCAGTCACTGGGGCCCAAGAGACGTTCAAGGCATGGCAGCCTGCCAAGATTCTCATTCAACCCAGTAGATGGGTGGCAACACCTCACTTCTCCTATTTGCTCCTCCAGGAAGAAAACTGGGCAAGCACTCTTTCAACTTCTAGAGATTTGGATTATTTTTTTCTTCTTTGCCCAAATTAGTCATTTTAAGAAAAGAGGAAAGAAAACGACTTGTCACTTCTGTAATTGTTCACACAAGTGGTACATCAAACCCCATCACAGTCAACACCCAGCCTCAGATGCCTTCCCTCCCAAGACGGTTAGAAAGCATGACTGAGTGCCCATCCTAGGAAAACGCAGCAGGCAAGTTATCAGAGAGCAAGGAGGGCTGCACACCCAGCATGTCACCTTGGAGTACCAGGCGGCTAGTCTCAAGGGTTAAAACCAATGGCAGACACTCTGGGTGGGGATGGCCATGGGGAGATGTGGGGAGAGCAGGACAGTTACTGAAGCAAATGTGACCCAAGTCACGTAAGAAAGTCTTGTTCAGCCTCCAAGGATCAAATATACCAGTCTCAAATCCAGGAGCAAATAAGATCAATGCCGGCATTTTCACTGAGGAGAGAAAAGCTGAGCCTCTATTCTGTTTGTTCATAGAGTGAAACCTAGGATGCTGAGTGAGAAAGCCTCGATTTTCTCAGTGTCTTTGCTCATCCCCCACTGCTTTATTGGAGCCTCGCAATTGGGAGCTAGGACAAGAGTTATGATGTCCATGGAAGTACAAGACATTGACCTGCAGAAAGGGGTAGGGCCCTTCCCAAGTGCACGCAGGCAGGGGGACAGGGCAGACCTCCAGCCCAGGCCTTCTGATTCCCTGGGTCAGAAATCTTCTGCAATACTGAGAAACAAGGCACCCTTCAGAGCACAGGAGTGAATGCTTCCACCTGCTTCCAGCTCCATTACCCCATGAGAAGGAGAGGCCCTAGCAGAACCTGGGCCCTGTGTCTCCTTTTTCCTCAAGCTTAAAGAAAACCTCCTTCTATAGAAGTGAAACAAGGAGGAGCATGTTGAACAAAACAACTCTACTTTTTTTTTTTTTTTTTTTTTTTTTTTTTTTTTTTTTTTTTTTTGAGATGGAGTCTCACTCTGTCACCCAGGCTAGAGTGCAGTGGCACGATCTTGGCTCACTGCAACCTCCACCTCCCAGGAGGTTCAAGTGATTCTCCTGCCTCAGCCTCCTGAGTAGCTGGGATTACAGGTGCACACTACCATGCCCAGCTGATTTTGTATTTTATACAGACAGAGTTTCTCCATGTTGGTCAGGCTGGTCTCAAACTCCTGACCTCAGGTAATCCACCTGCCTCAACCTCCCAAAGTGCTGGGATTACACGCATGAGCCACCACACCCGGCCCCAACTCTACTTTTGAGCTAACCCATACTGGATCTGGAACTTCAAGGAACTCACAGATGTCTTCTGACTGGGCTTGAAATTTGTGTGTGAGGGAATAATATCCCCTAGCAACAGCAACAGAAGCCCTATGTGTGTGTGCACATACACACGTGTGCACACACACACACACACACAGCTAAGAAGGTGTGCAGAAGGGTTCTCTCCTAATACCCAAGTCTTCTTGCTGTCCTCCTGGGTCTCATCCTTATCTACTTAGCTTCTTGTGACCCCAGTATTATATCCCCAAGTCATCCTCCTTCCCCTTAAAACCCCGGCCCAAGCTGGGCCAACAAGTCCTTCTCTTCCTTTCTGAAAGCAGAACTGACACAGCCAGACATCTCAGCACAGGGCAGTTAGAAAGAGTAGCCAGAGGATTGGAACCAAAAAGGCAAACACATTGCAATGGCCATACTTCCAAGGAGGAGCTTCTGATGCGGAGAGAAGTAGACTCACCCCAGGGCAGGGGCAACATCCCAGGGACCTGGGTTCCCAGGAGCTTGTCTCCAGTTCTGTCATCTGTGCTCGGCCTCCGTTAGTGCTGTGTCTGCATCTATGAAGTGAGATCACACACTCCTGCCAATCTCATGGGATCCCTGTGAACATCGAGAAAAATGTACCCACGAGACACAACTGAGACATCTTTAAATCTGAGAAAATATAAGATGTTTCCTTCCTTTCTTTGGTTTGTGGGTTTTTCTCCTTGATCTGTCATCCTTGGATGCGATTCATCTTATAGGTCAAAGGAAATATCTGTCAAAACCCCAGCAGACACCTGCCAGAAAAGAGAAAACTTAATAATGGTTTAAAAAAGAGGCTGGTGGGCCGTGCGTGGTGGCTCACTCCTGTATTCCCAGCACTTTGGGAGGTCGAGGCAGGCAGATCCCCTGAGGTCAGGAGTTCGAGACCAGCCTGGCCAACATGGTGAAACCCCATCTCTACTAAAAATACAAAAATTACTCGGGCATGGTGACATGAACCTGTAATCCCGGCTACTGGGGAGACTGAGACAGAAGAATCACTTGAACCTGGGAGGCAGAGCTGCAGTGAGCTAAGATTATGCCATTGCACTACAGCCTGGGCAAAAAGACCAAAACTTTTTCTCCAAAATAAATTAAATTAAATTAAAAAGAGGCTGGCACAGAACCGGGGTTCCCTTCAACTGTACTTGCAATCCTCCAATGAAGGCAAGCAACTTACTGCACTCCAAATCTCAATTTAGAAAAGGCCCATGTTGGCCAGCCATGGTGGCTCACACCTACAATCCTAGCACTTTGGGAGGTGAAGGCAGAAAGATCACTTTAGGTCAGGAGTTCGAACCAACACGGTGAAACTCCATCTCTACTAAAAACAGAAAAATTAGCCAGGTGTGGTGGCAGGCACCTGTAGTCCAAGCTACTCTGGAGGCTGAGGCAGGAGAATTGCTTGAACCTGGGAGGTGGAGGTTGCAGTAAGCCAAGATCGCACCACGGCACTCCAGCCTGGGCAACAGGGCGAGATCCTGTCTCAAAAAATGAAAAGGCTCACATCCATTTGTCAGGTTTACCTGCCCACAACAGGTGGCAGCCTCCAGACTCCTTCCCCCTCACTTGAGGGACTGGATAAAGTGGCAGGGTGGCCTGGCTGGGGAGGCCTTTTAGTGACCCCCAGAAAGTCTGCTCCTCGGTAGGCCCACCTTTCCCTTCAAGCTTATCCCCTCTACAGGTCTGTGCCTGCTACAGCCACCCCGCCTGGCTGACTTTGTCAACTCCAAATGTAAATATATGGGTGTCTGCAATGGGACTCCTCTGCTCTGAACCTTCCTAGCATGTGGACATAGAAGGGCCCAGAATAGAGTCAGCATTCAATAAACATTCGTTGGCTCTTTGCACAAATGAATGTGAGTCTCAAACATCAGAGGCCAAGATTTTACTTCGTTTGTATCTGTTCTGTATTTAACAGGTATTCAGGAAAAAGTTCATCAGGCAACATCTTAATTAAATCATAATAGTTTATCATTTAAAATATCTACTGTGTACCATGTACTTGACAGACATTCTGGAAATAATCATGAAACAATAGTGAGATGTTCTTATCCCCGTTTCACAGCTGATGAAACTGAAGCACAGGAGGTTTGGTAACAATGCCAGGTCATTTGATTATTTAATGGGGCTGGAACTTTATCTCCAGATTAACTGCAAAGGCCAGAGCCATCAATGTAACCAGCTGTCATTATACTTGCCTGTCCTTCCCCACCCACCAATGCCTTTCCAAAGAAAGGGTTTAGGACAACTCACTGAACAATGAGTCCTCAGGATCTTTCTCTAGAAAAATCTAGAGAAGTGTTCTATTTAGAAACTTTCCCTATGTTTTTGTTCAATCTTTTAGTCTCGGGGGTACGTGTGCAGGCCTGTTTTGTTACATGAGTAAGTTGTATGTTGCTGAGGCTTGGTGTACAAATGATTCCATTTCCCAGGTATGGGGCCTGATAGGAAGTTTTTCACCCTTGCCCCCTCTCATCCTTCCCCATCCAGTAGTTCCGTGTGTCAGTTATTCCCATCTTTATATCCATGTGTGCTCAACATCTAACTCCCACTTATGAGAACATGGGGTATTTGGTTTTCTGTTCCTACATTAATTTGCTTAGGATAATTTAAATATCAGAAATTGTTAGACTTTATCCAGACTCGCATTGGGGAAATAAAGTCATCAAAGAATGAAGTAAATCCAGTTTGATCAAAGAGCAGAGCAATGATTAAAATCACCGTGGGATGTCTATTATTAATCCAGTTCTAAGGCAATTCTGGAAGAAAAATCCCATTGAGTGTTAAGTGATCGTATCATTACAACAGGCCTCTCTTCTCAAATAGATTTATTTAAGGAGCAAAATACTCTCCCAGATTTATAAACTCTGGGGGTGTTTGGTTAAAAAATAAAATCATGCTACTTATTTATTACCAAATCAGGGTACTTTTAATCATATAATACATAAGGAGCTGTTGTAGAAAACAGGTTAATGTTTTCAGAATGTATCATTTCTATGTTTGGGGAAAAAGGGACTGTTCATATCCAGGAAGACAGACATGAATGAGATGCTGCTCAAATGTGTTCTTCAAAGTCAGACTTTCTTCTGAAAGGGGCAAAGTTTCCCTTTCCCTTCAAGCTCACTGAAATGCCAGCTTCCATGTTGGTGGAAAGCTTGAGGGACTGGATGAGGTTTATTTTTATGCTTGTTTGTGAAAAGGAGATTTCGTCAGAAAGGGCCTAAAAATAAAGGCCAAATCTCCATCAATAGGGCAGCTACCCATCTGCACATGCCCAGGGGCCTGCATGTCTCTGAAGCCCCATTTAGGTCAGTATCTTCATTCTGGCTGCTGTTGGAATCATCAGAAGGGCTTTCAGAACTCCCAGAGCCCACTTCACAATCCAGTGCAATTACATGAGCAACTCTGGGAAGGACCCAGTTGTGAATATTTTTTTAAAGCTCCCTGGGCAATTTCCATGGGTAACCCAGGTTAAGACCACAGCCACTTCAATTGTCTCCTGATGGCCAAGTTGCACCAAGATGTTGAGCCATCAAAACTCAACAGCAATGCTCACTTCAGCAACATGTATACTAAAACTGAAATGATACAGAGAAGATTCACATGGTCCCTGTGCAAGGATGACATACAAATTCATGAAGCATTCCATATTTGTAAATTTTGTGCCATGCATTAAAAATAACAAAAACAGGCTGTGCACAGTGGCTCATGACTGTAATCCCAGCACCTTAGGAGGCCGAGATGGGTGGATTACTTGAGGTCAGGAGTTTGAGACCAGTCTGAGCAACGTGGTGAAATCCTGTCTCTACTAAAAAACACAAAATCAGCTGGTTGTGGTGTTGGTTGCATGCCTCTAATCCCAGCTATTTGGTAGGCTGAGGCAGGAGATTCATTTCAACCCAGGAGACAGAGATTGCAGTGAGCTGAGAGCATGCCATCACACTCCAGCCTTGGCAATAAGAGCGAGAGCGAGAGCGAGAGAGAGAGAGAGAGAGAGAGACAGGGGTGGGGGGGAGGGAGGGAGGGAGAAAGGGAAGGAGGGAGGGAGGGAGGGAGGAAGGAAGGAATCAACAACAACAGCAACAGCAACTCAACAGCAGCAGCCAGCATCACGTAGCCCGGGAGGTGGCAGGCGGCTTCCCTGGCTCTCCCCACAACTATATGAATCCCGCCTCCATTACAATTCTCATTATGAGACCAAAGACATGCACAGAGTGCTGAATATTTCTGCACCTCCACTTCATCATCTGTAAAACAGAGATAAAGTTTTCTTTGGGAGTCATTGTGAAAATAACATAAGGTGATGTATAGAAGGAACTTAGCATCTGGCTGGCATGTAATGATTGTCAGGTAGTTGTTATTTCTAGAATCTCAGTATTCCATCCTGAGTTAAGAGGTGAAGAGCGAACAGTGCTTAGTGGCCTGGGAGGAGTTACCTATAATTTCTCTTTTCCCTTGCTTGCCACCAATAACCTGTGCCTCAGGGTTTGGGTGGGGTGCAAGAAAACTTAGAAACCTCAGTCTAGTTACAGAGCGGCCTTTAAAGACTGCCCCCCAGGGCAGGGGACAGTGTCTCAGGGTGGTAGAGAAGGAGCAGCTGCGTCCGGGGATGTGTCCTGGTTCCTGGACATCTTAGGAATGATCAGTCCCCTAGGGGAGGCCATCTGACTATGGATTCAGGGGTTTCCTAGACCTGAGGGGCTATGAGGAAGCCCCTTCTGTCTTCCTGACCTTCTGTGTGCAGTCACTATGAGTTCAGTTAAGCACCTTGAGCAACAGGAAGAAGAGATGCTGTGACCCAGCTTCCTTTTTTCTGAGAAGCAGAGAGTCTGAATCATAGAAGTACAGTGATTCAGATTTTGAGATAAGAAAGAACACATCAAAACAGTAATCGTCAGTTTTCACAGAAATACATATTTTACCTCCAACTACTGGCTAACAAATCATAGGCCGCTGTGAAGCTTGTTTTATTGGCAAAGGATCAATTCAGCATCTCTGACATGATGACAGGCACTGGGCATGCAGTATCGCATCACGGTAGCTGAGGCTTGTGAACTAGAAATAAACTAGCCAAGGTCATTCTGCTGGTAAATGCTGGATTCCAGAGACTAGAGTTTTCCGTAGCTCTCCACCTTGAACACACATCAGAATCCCCAGGGGTCTTGTTGAAACAGATTGCTGGCCCCACCTCCAGAGTGTCTGAGTCAGCATGCCTAGCATGCTACCTGAGAATCTGCATTCCTAACAAGTTCCCAGGTGATGCTGATGCTACCAAAGTGAAGACCACAGTTTGAAAACATCTGCTTTATAGCAGCAGCATCAATTACTAAGGCTCAGCCATGAAGTAAAAGGGAGGGGAAGTCCTTAAAAATACCTCTTAGAGAGGTGGTTAAGTTTTCCCCACTCACCCTCCTTACCCAACACAAACACACACACACACACACACACACACACACACTGCTGACACCGTGATTTGTATTCTTCAGAGATACCAGAAACTTTCTGCTTTGTTGAGATTCAGTCGCACTCTGCATAATGACTGAGATCAGTGGACTAACATTTCACCAGCCTCCCTTAGTAGATTCCATGAGCGCCTTTTCTTGGGCCAGGTAAGGAAAAGTCCAAGAAAGACAGAACTGTCCACACAATGCAACCAGTGCACCCTCAGCCACTTCAGAAGACCTTGGCAATCAGGGAAGCCTGATTGCAATTTGTGGCTATTAACATAAGCTGGGCCTCTCGCGACCTCAGACAGCCTTTTTTGGTGATGTTTGTCTGGTTTCCTAGCAACCTGAACATTAAGGAACAGAGGTGTAAACAAACCTGCTGGATGTCCACTGGCCAGGTGTTGGGAGAAATTTCTGCAGAGAAAGGGTCTCAGCTGCCAGCTCAAGTAAGCTCTGTGATCCCATTCACAGGGTATACATAAAACCACAGGCAAATTCCTGTGTGCCTCCACAAATATTAAAGCCATGCAAAAGCACAATTGCAAAGGATATGGTGTAACTGTGAGCTGCTGGCAGAAACTTCAGCTCAGTATGCAATAATCTGAAATAAAATTTGTGTTTTAAAGCTGATGGCTTTGAGAAATATATGACGTGCCATTGTTAGAAGTCACTATTGTGAAGTCATTGCCATTTGCCCAATGGCATGAAACAGACCAAACTGGCAGCAAATGCTGCGCCAGTGAGATGTCTAGTCTAGAAAGACCATGTTGGAAGGGTGGCTGTTTGGAAAGGGATTGACAGTGTGAGCTTAATAGCCAACCAGGCATTCAAACCCAAGCTCTGCCATTTATCAGATGAGTGATCTTGGGTGGAATTAGGTGATATTCGTCACCTAATGAATGTCACCTAGTTTCCACGTCCTGACCAGCAGCAGATCCTCTTGGCTCTACCGCAAGATACGCTAAATCTGTCCAGGTGTGTCATTGCTACGCACCCCATCCAAGCCATCATCTCTAGTCTGGATCACTGCAATAACCTGCTAACCAGTTTCCTTGCTTCCATAGTACCCACTCAACAGTTCATTCTCCACTTAGCAGCCAGAGATCATTTTCTTTCATTGTGATAAAATACAAATAGTGAAAATTTTACCATCTTAACCATTTTTAGGTGTACAGTTCGGTAATGGTAAGTATATTCATATTGCTGTGCAAGCAATCTTCAGAACTTTTTTGTGTGTGACAGAGTCTGTCACCCAAGCTGGAGTGCAGTGGCGTGATCTCTGTTCACTGCAACCTCCATCTCCCAGGTTCAAGCAATTCTCTTGCCTCAGCCTCCTGAGTAGCTGGGACAGGTGCGAGGCACCAAGCCTGGCTAATTTTTGTATTTTGAGTAGAGATGAGGTTTCACTGTGTTGGCCAGGCTGGTCTCGAGCTCTTTACCTCATGGTCCACCTGCCTCAGCCTCCCAAAGTGCTGGAATTGCAGGCGCAAGACACTGTGCACAGCCAGAACTTTTTCGTCTTGCAAAACTGAAACCCTGTCTCCACTCAACAACTCCTGATTTCTCTATTCCCCCAGTCCCTAGAAGGTACTGTTCCATTTTCTATTTCAAAGCTGAGTACTCCAGGTCCCTCATATAAGTGTAATCACAGTGTTTATCCTTAGTTCATATAGCACAGTGTACTCACCTATGTTGTACAGTGTGTCAGAATTTCCTTCCTTTTTAAGATTGAATAACTGCCCATTGTATGCATATCACATTCTGTTTATTCATTCATCCACTGATGGAAATTCAGGCGATGTCTGCCTTTTGGCTATTGTGAATAATGCCACTATGAATATTGGTAGACAAACATCTCTCTGAGGCCTTGCTTTCAATGCTTTTGGATATGCTGGATCATATATAAATTCTATTTTTAAATTTTTGAGGAACAGCCATACTGGTTTATTTTTTTCTTTTTTTGACATGGAGTTTACTCTTGCACCCAGGCTGGAGTGAAGTGGTGCGATCTCGGTTCACTGCAACCTCCGCCCCCAGGTTCAAGCAATTCTCCTGTCTCAACCTCCCAAGTATCTGGAATTATAGGCGCCCACCACCACACATGGCTAATTTTGTATTTTTAGTAGAGACAGGGTTTGGCCTTGTTGGCCAGGCTGGTCTCAAACTCCTGATCTCAGGTGATCCACCTGCCTCAGTCTCCCAAAGTGCTAGTATCACAGGTGTGAGCCACTGTGCCCGGTACAATAGTGTTTTCCACAGCAGCTGCAGCATTTTACATCCCCACCAACAGCGCAGAGTGAACTTTTATAGAAAGACCTCAGCACTGTTGACATTTGGGTTCAATAAGTGTTTGCTGTTTAGTAGCATCACTGTCCTCTACCCACTGGATTCCGGTAGCACCTTCCCCCTTCCTAATTGTGACAGCAGAAAATGCCTCCAGGCATTGCCAAATGTCCCCTGGGGGCAAAAATCGCCCCTGGTTGAGAACCACTGAATTAGAGCCTCGTTCTGTGCCCAGGGTGGAGTGCAGTGGCGCGGGTGGAGGGAGGAGGGTGTGCTGCTACTGACAGTAAGTCCCTGAATAGGTGAGGTGGGATGGATGTTAAGTCCACCACAGAGCCAGGGAAGAAGCATCCCCCCAACTAAGAATCCTGGAAAACAGGGGTAAGGGAGGGGAATGGTAGTATGGTGGGGTGTGAGGAAGGTATGGGGTCGTGGCGGCAGCAGTCAGCTCTCAGGGAGTAACCAACTGGGGCAAAGGCTGAAGAGAGAGGTCAAAAACATAAGCAGAGTGGGGCAATAGGTTTCGTCATGTGGACATCCTTGGAAACTTTGATAAGCACTCTAGTGAACGCCTGACTGAAAAGGGTTCAAATGAGACTAGAAAGAGAAGAATTAGAGGCAGTTAAACACATTTTGAAGGACTTTTGCTATAGATCTAGAAAATCATTATTTGGAGTAAAAGGTCTCTATAAACACTTAGAACAGGGATTGTCTTGCAAGTGCTGGCACATGTCAGCCACTGCTGATTATCTACATCCCCACCTGATCCTCATCACATTCCTGAGAGGCGCAGAGGTCCAGTTTTATCAGAACTTGCCCTGAGAACGCTGAAGCAGATGAATACAGTGACTTTACTCCAGGTGTCCCCCACAGCCCACTGGATTATGAGATAAACAGATCAGGAAAGAGTAGAGCTGAAGCTAGG